TCTTAAATGTATTCAAATTGTACTCATGCCTTTCACACATAACTTGGTTAAGTATGTAGATGTATTTTCTCTAAAACAAACTTGGTTAAATTGATATTAGTTCTTAAATGTATTCAAATTGTACCCATGCCTTTCACAATCCATTACTACAATGTGGGTGCTTGGAAAGTTATTGTTTTAGTAGGCTATTTTAATTTTTGGCTATCGGTTAAAATTTTTATGTTTGAAAAGATTATTGGATTTTTTTGTAGTTGGATGCGATATTTGTAAGAGAAAAAGTGAAATGATTATAGGTTTAATGTAATATTTTATCTTATTAATTATTTTAATTTATTTTATCTTTTTATAAATTTTAGCCTAAGGCTAAAACCCAATGTTTCATGTTGGACTTGGTTGTATAAAGTCGCTATGTTTGTTTGATACATGATTTTAGGATTGAAATAATAATTTAATGCAATACATTATTTATTTTTATAAAAAAACAATTAAGGTTTCGAATTGATAATTCACTCAAATATGATATTTTTATATAGAGAATTATTGAATACTAAAAGAGAATGAAATACAAAATGGGAGACTAATGAGATATGAAAGTATATATATATATATATAATATTTTTTTTATTAATCTAAATATGAGATAAAAATACATATTCCAAAACTAACAATTTTAGTACATAGACAATTTTCCTCTAATTTTTTTAAATTGTGTTTCAATTTTAAAGCTCTAACGATTTATCAATTTAAAATTTAAACATAACTTAAAACAACTGATTTCGTAAATAGAATTCACATTACAAAGCTAGAATTCTTGTACCTTCTTTTATTTATTTATATTTTTTACACTTCTGTTTCCAAGCTTGTATTATAATTTTGAAAAATAAGTTGTCATTTGATAAATGACTCATAGGCGATATAAATGTAAAATATTCAAGGAAAATGCGTGAGAGCTCGAATGTGTAGAGTTCGAATGGCTCAAAAATATTATCTTACCTGTAAGAGAATCAAAAAACACCCTAAAACGACGTCGTTTTGGGATTTCGAGCCATTCCAGCTATTTGATTTTCGAGTTACGTAGCAGTGCCGAATATTCAAATAGAGAGTCTAATAAAAATGAGAAAAAGATAATATCCTCACGCTAAATGAATAACCATATAGAGAATGGGTGTAAAATGGGTCTACACACGAATTTGGATCTTCTGAAATGATTTTTCGTAAAGTGATATATTGGCCCCGTTTGGTGTAGCTGTTATTATAACTTAATGGATTATAGATTATGACTTTAATCAGAAGTTGTTAATCTGTTTGGTGTAGCTGTTGGATTATAGATTTAAGTTGCTGAGTAATGTTTGTTAAATAAGCTGTGAAATAGCTTTTTCAATTAATTTTTATTTTTTGTTTGTCTACATTTCTCATAAAAAATAATAATAATAATCTATAGTCCATTTGAGTCCTTTTCTATTTTTAAAAAAATAAAAAATAAAAAAATTTAAGAGTATAACCATAAATTAACATGTCCACATCAGAAGCTGATAATTAAAAGCAAGGGGTGAGCAGCTTCTCAGAATCAGCTTTTTTGAGTTAAAATAAGCCGTTAGAATCAGAAGCTGTTTGAAATAAGTTTAACCAAACAGTCCAAAATAACTTTTTCAAAGCTAAAAGCCATAAGTTAACTCTGAAAAGCTGAAATAAACATCCCTATTGTAAAGTGATTTTAGAATGATTTTTTGGATAGTTAAAATTTTTTTAAAACAAATTTTACTTTATTTTATTATGATTTGGCTCATGAGCCAATTACCTTTCATTTTTTTAAATAATCACATAACTTTATTATAATTTGTGGATTGTGTATCGTTAAACATTCTATTCCACTTAACAAAACTGTAAAACACATGCTAGATATAATGGAATTATATGTTCATTTTCAAATTTTGAAGAAGCAAAGCACAAATGTTTGTTTGGGCGGACTGGATTAGTATTCCAATGACTAATAGTTTTACGATTACGAATCCGTTGGATTATGTATCCTATCTTAACTAATAGTCAAGTTTAAAATAATTAGTCCGTACTTCAATTGTTTAACCAAATATCGAATTAATAATTTTATTAGACTATTAGTCCAATCCCAAGCTCATGTCCACCCAAACAAACATGGCCTTATTGGACTATTAGTCCAATCCCATGCTCATGTCTACCTAAACAAACATAACCATAGAGTTAAAGTGCATTTTATCTTCAAAGCAAATAACTAAAATATTCATAATTCACACACTTAAATTACTTATATATAGGACTATTTTAACCTTTTTATTAAATTGTTGATGGGTCTAACGATGCACTTCAATCTACAAACCATGATAGGGTTATTTGATTATTATTTTTATGAGGGGGCAATCCGCACAAGGGCCAAACTAAGAAGGTAAAGTAAAATTTGTTCATTTTTTTAGCGCTCGTATGACATAAGCTAAATGGGGTTTTTTTGGGCTAAAATAGTTACAAAAGACAAAATACGTTTTTTAGCTTAATAAGACAAAATGTCACATCTAAATCATAATCATATTATTTTTTCTCTCACAAAAGTCAAAAAAGTCAAAAAGCTTATTCTAAACGAGAATTTTTAATCTCAAACTAAAACAACTAAAAAGTCAAAAAATTAATCTATATCCCAAACGAACCCTTAAAGTGAATATTTGTACTATTGTACTCTCAACTTTTATATAATTAAATCTAAATCCTTCAAAAATCACTATTATTAGTAGTATCCTCAGATTTTGTATTATTGAACTCTCAATTTTTGTACAATTAAATCTTACTAATAACAAAAAAAACTTTAAGATCACTGTACAAAAAAATCACCCTAGAGGATCTGGAGTCGCCTACACAAATGTATGTTTTTATGAAAAAAATCTGTTTGGAAGGATTTGTTGTTCAAATTTAGAAATTAAATAAATAGATTTATGAAGAAATCAAATTATATATATACTAAGCACACATGCTAATAATTACAACTAAATTTCAACAGAAATACACAAAATAATAAAAGGGTAAAGAGACGAAACCGAAGCCTGCACGGAAGCAGTTTCCTTAAAACAGATTTCGCCGCCTCACTGGTCGAGTGCTTGAGGAATCCTGGCGTCTGTCTCCCAGGATACGACGGTCAAAACCAGCTACAGCAGAAACACTCTCTGTCTAGCTTAGCGAACAAAACAGTGGTAGTACTCTCTCACTGTAAGAACTTTCAGATAAACTGACTTGTGAAATGAAAGTAAAAATTTCTGTGTTTGAGACTTGACAGGAGGGTCTCAATTTATACATGTATAGGGGAGAGATGAAGAGCCTCCAGCCTTTATGGCTGTTCATAATGCACCATTAACCTTTACAATAAAGGCAGGAGTTACAAACCCCATTAATGTAGGAGTTACAAACCCCATTAATGCAGAAGTTACAAACTTCATTACCTTTCTTCCATGAAGCTAACTTCATGAGGTAATTTCTCATTCAAATCTCAATGGTTTTTGGCCATTCTATCTGTGGTGTAAAGATCACAATGCAAAGTATCTAGACCCACTTGGACCCAACACAATATATGGTTGGGACCCACTTTAATCTTTAATTAAAGTCACCACACTTTAATATTAAATTAAAGTCCCCAAAAATCATTTTTTCCAACAGGATTTTCGAATAATAATTCTACCAATATATTTCAATATCATGTTTGGATAGAGTTTTCCAACTATATTTCCACAATAAACACAAAACTTTGTAGAAAACTCTGTGTAAAGCGCGATTTTTGATTTTTTTTTTTTTTTGAAATTTGGCCTTACCGGCCATTCTACGGGATGTTCTACAGACCATCTTGCCGGTCGTCCGGCTGGTTGATCGGAATAGGGAATTTTTTTTTTGACATATGTTAATTTTTATATATTTGAAAAAAATATATTCTGAATTTTTTAAAAAAAATTATGTGCTTTAATAGAATTTTGAGTTGTATATTTGGTTATGAGTTGTAAATTTTTGTATCAAATATCATATGTCACATCAAAAATTTCCCACTCAATTTAAAACTTTTTCACCAAACAAAATTTTCATACTCAAATCATAATTCCAAAACTCACAAACTTAAAATATAACTCCTACTTTCAAATCATATTTAGAAAGCTCTACCAAACGCAACCAAAGTGTTTTGAGATATTATGTGCCATTATTCTCAACAAATCATCAATTGTTAAGTCTATTACTATTTTCTATGTTTAATACAAAGTTGTGAATCTTATCTCTACCAATCATAATATTTACGGGGCACTAATTAGCCATGTGCCCCAAAACTATCAAATAACTCCTCATTTCTACTAGTGTCTTTGAATATGTAAGGTCTTGTTTGGCAACAAAGTTTTTAGTTAAAATAGTCAATAAAAATAGAAAAAGTTAAAATAATCAATAAAATAAAATGTCACAACTTACACATCAATCAATCAAATTTTTTTTCTTCTCACAATTATCTATTTAACTATAAAAAAATACAAAAATTATATAAAATATATGTTTTTTTGATCTCATAAAATAATAAAAAAAATTAAAATAATCAAATTTCAAAACGAGACCTAAGTGAATGTAATTGTGGCTCTATTGGGAAGAGCTAAAAACGCCAATTTTTGGTTTTTTACTCATTTTGGATCACATTACTTTTTCATATTTTTTACTCATAAAAAGATAAAATAAATTAAAAAATCAAAAAATTAACTTTTTACCAACTTTCTAAAACACCCCGGTAACATTGGTGGATCAGAAATACACTGAATCTAGAGGGCACCAAAACAAAACCTCATTTGAAATTGACTGTACTACTGTGTCAATCACTGTAAATACAAACAAGTTCAGGGACAAACAGATGAAAATGACGACCAGAAATTCAAAATGAATAAAATAGCAAAAAAAACAGAGGGTGGTTTCGTAATAATCCGCCAAAAAAGCACAATAATCTGAAAACGTAGGCTTTAAGTGAGAGAAAGAGTGGAGTGTCGTTTAGTTTGATAATAATAGCTCGGCCCCCAAATCGCCTCTTATTAACATTCTCTGCCACTCCACTCCACTCCTCTCTCCCCTCTCCTATCCTCCTCCGCCGACTCTCTCTCCCTTACCTCCGGCGATCTCTCATCTCCCCCCACACTCTCTCTCTCTAGCTTTCTCTCTCTAGGTCTCGGTTCCTCTTCCTCCACAATGTCCGCCTCTCCAATCTGAACCTGAAAGCTTCCATTTCCTCTCTCTCTCTCTCTCTCTCTCTCTAGACATATGTGTGTAATATATATGTACGCGATAATATCTACATCTATATAGATATATATCTCTTTGTCTGTAGTTTTAGAGTCATTATGGTGGTTGGAGAATGCGAAGGGTGCTGATTCACGGAGAGAACGTGAAATGCAGCTTGCTTTTTTATGTGGATTTTTAAGATTCGAGTTTGAACGCATTTGAGCTTGATTTCAGATCTGGAGCTGTTGATTTTGATTTTGGAGAGAACTTATGGTGCATTTGGTGTGTGAAGGGTTGTTTTTGAGGTCGTGGATGAGAAATTAGGGTTTTTTTGGGGGGTATTTGGTGGTTTTGTTCGTTTTCGTGTTTCTTGAGTTTGGATTTGAGGATGAATCGAAGTTTTAGGGCTCAGGAATCGCAAATGCAGGGGTCGGTGAAGCAGAGGCAGCAGATGGCGAGTATGAGGACGTCGATGATCAAGGATAAGGAAGAGGAGCTCTCGTTGTTTCGCGAGATGCGAAAGCGCGAGAAGGATCGGAACAATCTTCTCCTTCACAACTCAGATGAATTTGATGCTCCGCTTGGTATGAACCTGTTCGATTTCATTTTCTTCAATGTTTAGACTTTTGGAGTTTTGATTCGATGATTTTGTGCTTTCTCATTAATTGAGTGTATTGTTTATAGTTGAAAAACCAAGAAAGAATTATAGCTTAACTTATACGGACATTGTGTTTCTCAGTTAATTATGCTTTGAAAATTAAAATCGTGGTTGTGTTTGTCGTTATTGTTTTTCTTTGGCAGGAGCAAAACCAGGCACTTCTCCCATTTTCAATATTACATCATCTACACCGGCAAGGAAGACTGGTGCTGATGATTTCCTCAATTCTGACAACGATAAAAATGATTATGACTGGTAATGTGGTGGCATTTCTTGAGGTTTTTAAGATATCAACTTGCATTAATTTTTTCTGAATTGATGCTGGGAATTAAGAAGAATGCTTAGAGGAGATAAACTAACTTACATTCGTAATCTTGCAAGCAAATTGGTAATTATGTAGAGGACTGTTAAATTTGTTACTCGCCTTTGTTTGAACTCAAGAACAATAGAACTTGAATAAAGGGTTGTAGTTTAACATGTAAATTTTTGATTGCCATTATGCAATCATTGCCATGCAAGTATGCCTTTTGACAAGCACAGCTGATAAATACAATCGATTATACTTTGGCTACTCTGCCATAGGTTATAGATGATGTGTGCATAGTGAATTTATTTTGGGTTTGCTAAAGCAGCATGTTAAGTCTATTCACATTGGTTCCCAATTATTTTGGAACAAAGAAATCTGCCATTTTACACCTTGTCATGCTTCTAGCTTTTCAAAGGGTTCTAGAGATACTTTGCGAGCACCTTTTTCTCTCATTTGTGTGTGCGTGCGTGCGTGGGCACGCGCGAGCGTGGGAGAGAGAGAGAACAAATAAAATGAGTTACTGCCCCACATCTCTTCTGGTGCTCCTCATGGGCAAATTGAAAATGTTCAAAGATTTTGGTATGTAAAAACTTCCACTGGAACAAAATCAAGATTAACTCCTCAATAAATTACATGTAGGACAAAAGATCTATATGGTAGGTTACATAAAGAGGACTATGTCTAGTACACGGATGACTTACAAATAATCTCCCACTGGCTGTTATAGACATCTGTATCAACTAAATTATCAACTCTTGTCCAACCCTGTTCACCTTGTCACATGAGGTTACATAAAGAGGACAATGGCTAGTACACGGATGTCTTACAGATAACTCTCCCACTAGCTGTTATAGACATCTGTATCAATTGAATTATCAACTGTTGTCCAACTCTGTTTTCTCTATATTTTCCAATTTATTAATCAGCCGTGAATTTCAGTTTTCCAGAGCCCATATAATTGCTATTGCCCATTGTTTGCATGTGTCTAATAGACTAGGGTTTCCTGGTTTCTCTGATAAATCTGGTTCAAGTATTGCGCATTGAAATTCAATGGCAAACAAAGTATTGCACATTGATGTAAGAATGGCAAACAACAGTGTCTTTTGGGATAATAACTGATTTATTTATTTCAGGCTTCTAACCCCTCCCGGTACTCCTCTTTTTCCTTCCTTGGAGATGGAATCACAGAAAACTGTTACGAGTCAGATCGGAACTCCTAAAGCTCGGCCTACTGCACTGAAATCTAGAGTAAGAGTGATATTTAAACTTTTTGTACCATGTAGCAATCTTGAGTTTGAAGTTATTGGATGGTATTAATATACAATCTGAATTTTTTATGGTTGGTGAATATGTGGTTTGTCAATTCTCTCAGATGGAAAGTACACTTGTGGTTTGTTATTTATCTCAGATAGAAGTAGACTTAGTGATTTTAGCATCTATTGAAATAATTATAAAACGAAACTGTGATGGTTTGTGTCTGTTAATTTAGATTTTTGTCCCATGTAATGGCCTTAGTTTAAAGTTACTGGATGATACTATACTAGTCTACAATTCAGTAGTTCGTAGACTTTTGATTCGTTTTTTTTTTCTCACATGGAAAGTAGACTTATGAATTTAGCATCTTGTAAAACAATCATTAAAATGAAATCATAATGGTTTATGCAAAATTAACCACCACCATCAGGAGAAAAAAAAAATTGTAATAAACCATTTTAATGCTGAGTTGGTCCCAAGTGTAGGAAAAGGATTGTCAGGTTTGCAGCCAGTGTATATTGCTGTAAAATTATTCTCCAAGATTGGTAAAGCTATATGTGCTGGTTCAAATTTCTTTTTGGCAATCTGTATCAAACATACTTCCGTCTCAGTGCTAGAAATCTGGTTGGGATTGCAGACTGAGAAACATCAGGCCTATCAAAATTCATAGTTTTGGGAAGCAATCACATTGTTGTTACATCCTTCTGGCATGTTCGACAAGTTTTACTAGAATTTTTAAATTTTGAAATATTGGTTTATAAAAGTAAAAAAATATCATCTTTTGATTATTTAGCATTTTTCAATGATAATGAATTTTTTTTTTTTAATTAGAAAGAATATATAGGTATGAAGTGGAAAATATACAAGAAAATGTTCTTCTGTAATTGCTCAAATATAAAATAATTTATGTGGCATATGGTTCCCAGGAAGAACATCTAAGTTTGAGAAGGAGGTTTTAAAAGCATTGGAACTATTTAGGAAAGAATTCTTGATCCAAAAATCATAAATGTTAGTGCTTCTGCTCAGAAATCATAATTTCTTGAAATGATCAGATGTTGCTTCCAATTCAATATGTTATTTCAAATATTCTGATTTTGTATCTGCCTGAAGTCATGAAATAATGTTGTTCTATCATTTGTTTGTGACTACAGCTAGCAAACCCCCAGCTAGAGCCTGCTTCTAGGTCACACTCGGCATCCAGACACTCAGCTTTATCCCCTGGGTTGAATACTTCATGTATAGGAGTTCGCAGGCCCTCATCATCAGGGGGTCCAGGATCCAGACCAGTGACACCAACTGGACGCTCAACAATGGCCTCAGCAGCTAAACCCACACTGACCACAGCACCTAAATCCACATCGACTACAGTGTCTAAACCCACATCGACCACTGTGTCTAGACCTTCAAGGTCTTCTACACCCACTTCTAGGGCTACATTGCCTTCAAGTAAGCCCACAGTTCCAGCAAGATCCTCTACGCCGTCCAGGACTACTGCAAGATCTTCGACACCGACATCTAGGCCCACCATACCAGCATCAAAACCCACATCAAGGGCAACAACACCAACTCGTAGACCAGCCACAATTTCAACTGTAACAAATACATCTGCTCCTCCAGTGAAGTCTCCTGCTTCCTCGGTTTCCAAGCCAGGTCACACAACAGCTAGAAATCCAGTGCCACCACGTGCTAGTTCTCCAACCGTGAAATCCAGACCGTGGAAACCTTCAGAGATGCCTGGTTTCTCCCTCGATGCACCACCAAATTTAAGAACCACCCTTCCCGACAGACCGCTTTCAGCCACTAGGGGCAGGCCCGGAGCACCTAGTGCTCGTTCTTCTTCTGTTGAGCCTGTTTCTAATGGAAGGGTTAGACGGCAATCGTGCTCTCCTTCAAGAGGACGACCCCCCAATGGAATTATTCACAGCAGTGGAAGCTCTGTTCCTGCAATCAGTCGTGCACATGCTAAAGCTAACGACAATGTGAGCCCTGTTATGATTGGAACCAAGATGGTTGAAAGAGTAATAAATATGAGGAAACTGGTCCCACCAAAGCAAGACGACAAACAATCTCCTCGTAGTAACTTATCAGGAAAGTCTTCATCCCCTGATGGCTTTGGAAGAACACTCTCAAAGAAATCTCTGGATATGGCTATAAGGCATATGGTATGTATCTTTTTCCTTTTCACATGGTATTATAAACTACATTGGGTGCATCAAGGATTCTTGGTGTCTGCACATCTAAAACTAATGACCATTCTCTGTCAATGTTTGAAGTTTTTTTTATCCATATTGATATGCTATGTTACTTGTACTCTTCAAAATAAATCAAATACCCATATAAGATACTCAGACACTTGGACAAGAGTGTGGAGTATGTGTCAAATACTTTCCATTGGACACTTATTTATTTGTATTTTTTTTTTTTTCTTTTAATGACCGGGTGTTGGGACTAGCTTATGCGCACCCTGACTAATCTCGGGACCCATGCAAAGCGCCCCTTCCACTTGAATTGGGCAAATCTCGGGTAGAGCCTGTCGGTGTGGCCCAAGGAGTTAATAGCATCTAGTGAGAAAGTTGAACTTGAGACCTGAAGGGAGCACACCCGTAGGCCCCAAGCTGCGCTCACTAAGCCAACCCTTGGGGTTTATTTATTTGTATTTAATACTGGCATTATATGTATATGTTGTTGTATAATTGCTATAAAATGAGTGAAATGCTAAGAAGCATGGACACTTTTAAAAAGGTGGCGTATCCGTATTGTGTCCGTGTCGGACACCGACACTTGTCGGACACTCTCCTGACATGTGTCCGACACTCATCCAAACGTGCCTCCGTCCCAAAATATTAGTCCCTTTTGGGGAATCTAACTTTTTTTAGTAGTACACTTATTGCATTTGAAAAAAGTTGCTTTTCCAAAATTACCCTTTTGATAGTACATTTTTTGGGAATATCAATGTCATAATTGTACTTTTTAAATTGTTTATTAATTTAAAAGAAGGGCAAAATAGGAAATTTACTTATCAGGAAAGTCTTCATCCCCTGATGGTTTTGGAAGAACACTCTCAAAGAAATCTCTGGATATGGCTATAAGGCATATGGTATGTATCTTTTTCCTTTTCACATGGTGTTATAAACTACATTGGGTGCATCAAGGATTCTTGGTGTCTGCACATCTAACACTAATGACCATTCTCTGTCAATGTTTGAAGTTTTTTTTTATCCATATTGATATGCTATGTTACTTGTACTTTTCAAAATAAATCAAATGCCCATATAAGATACTCGACACTTGGACAAGGGTGTGGAGTATGTGTCAAATACTTTCCATTGGACGCATCTTATTTATTTATTTGTTTTTTTTTTTTTTTTTTTTTTAATGACCGGGTGTTGGGACTAGCTTATGCGCACCCTGACTGATCTCGGGACCCATGAAAAGTGCCCCTTCCACTTGAATTGGGCAAATCTCGGGTAGAGCCTGTCGGTGTGGCCCAAGGAGTTAGGAGTTGTTTGGGATGACCTAAATAACTGCACTTTTTGTCTTTTTACGAAAAGATGTGCAGAAAAGTAGAAAGATGATGTGATGAAAAAAAGATAAAAATGTGTACTTATTTAGGATAGCCAAACTTGGCTTTAATAGCATCTAGTGAGAAAGTTGAACTTGAGACCTGAAGGAAGCACACCCATAGGCCCCAAGCTGCGCTCACTAAGCCAACCCTTGGGGTTTATTTATTTGTATTTAATACTAGCATTATATGTATATGTTGTTGTATAATTGCTATAAAATGAGTGAAATGCTAAGAAGCATGGACACTTTTAAAAAGGTGGTGTAGCCGTATTGTGTCCGTGTTGGACACCGACACTCGTCGGACACTCTCCTGACATGTGTCCGACACTCATCCAAACGTGTCTTAGTTTTTTAAAAAGAACTTAGACTCAGACACTCTTTAGACACTCTTTGGACACTTGGAGGACACGCGTGTCCACTGCTTAACACACGTTTCCATTGACTACACATGAAACTAATTATAAATTTGAATAAAATAACTTAGAATAAGATGATAAAAGCAAAATAATGTTAATTTATAAAAGTTAGTGTTATATTGTATTCATTTATTATTTTAGAATGATATATTCATATATATGACTTATAATAAATATATAAAATTATATATTTTGTGTGTCCCCCTACGTGTCGTTTCCTGCATTTTTTTGAAAATTATCGTGTCTGTGTGTCCGTGTCGTGCCACGTGTCCATGTCTGTGTTTCTTAGGTGAAATGCTTTTGACATTGTATGTTAAATGTACATCATTTTATCATAACAAATAAAAAATATAAAAAAATGATGCTTTTTTTCCAAGTTTGCGTATTCTTAAATTTGAGCTTTGATGGATCTAACCTTTATATATGCGCCCACACCCACATTTAATGCCTGTATCCGAGTCCATGTAACAAAGTTGATATGGCATGACATGATTACCTCTCTATATTGGCTTGTCAATCTGTGCCTAATGTTACTGCTAAAACTTTGAACCCAGAATGTCTCTTATTCATCTTAAATGCTACAGCTATTTTATGTATTTCCAACATTAGATTATTTGCAAGAATAGGATGCTGATTGAGCCGAAACAAAGAAAAGAAAAGAAAATAGAAAAATTGAAGGCCTTCCTTTTATTGACCATTTATTTTCTCGAGCAGGATATAAGGCGGAGCATTCCAGGCAATTTAAGACCGTTGATGACAAATATACCGGCATCCTCTATGTATAGCGTGCGATCAGGCCCCACACGAAACAGGACGGTTAGTGTTTCAGACTCCCCTCTTGCAACAAGCAGTAATGCTAGTTCTGAAATGAGTGTCAACAACAACGGCCTGTGTGGAAATGGAAATGAAGTAGATGATGATATTAACAGTGATAAAGGCACTCGATCTCCTCCCAGTTTGCGGGGTAGGTGAATGGTGAGGACCTTCTATCCTTGATGATATTGACTGCTTTTCTTATCCACTTTGTAATTTTATTTTGAATCTTTATCAGCATGACAATTGATAGAGACAATTGCTTTCAGGAGAAAACCTCTGACGGGTTGATCTGGCTCTCATATGATTTATGTAAAGTTGAATGGATTCGATTAGCTAAGTTCATAGTATTCAATGCTGTTGTACTATTAGAACAATGTTTGAACCAACTTTGGGGCTCTCAGTTCTGGAGAGAGGTGACGTATTCTGAACTTGCTTTTATAATGTTGACCTTCTAGTTGAGACCGGAAATTAGCTTCACAAACTAGTTGCACATTGATTTAGGCTCCTCAAACCTTCCATGGTATTGGCATGGCTGTCGTTGTATTCGTAATAGGGCTTTTTGTGTGTGTGTTTAGGGTAGGCAAGTGTCCCCCGGCCTGGTGACCGGGCTCAAGCGCCTCTGAGTCATTGCTTCAATGCTCACATAACGTGGCATGTTGTGGCAACAGATATAGTATTAGGGTTGTAAACGAGTAAAGCTGAATTAGTAGGTTTTTTAAGCTTGGTTGAAAAACTTAATGAGTTTGAAATATGGTTTAATTTGACTTATTTGTATTTGAACAGATTACAAATTAGTTTTAATTGAGCCAAACTTGAGTTGGGTAGATTAATAGGTTGTTCAAATTTGATTTAATTGAAAAAAAAAATGGAGTAAAGTTCGTTGCCCAATGTGGTCCGTAAGTGCTTTCAATCAATGACTGGTATTCAATAGCTTGGTGTGAGTGAGTGGGAAATGTTCCCTACATCAGAGGGAACACAGAATGTGAGAGGGACCAAATGCAACCATAATAGAGAGTTTTAATTTTAAAACATTAAAGAGAGCTGTAATGATATGGTAAGAGAGAGAAGGGGAAAAAAAAAAAGGAAAATGTATTAGAAGTCTAAAAGAAGAGCTCTAAAATAACTTTAATTTGCCTTTTTCCTTGCTGTGTTTTGTCTATTTCCTTTTTATTTATTTATTTATTTTTTGTTATATGCATAGCCAACTCAGTAGAGCTGCTTTTAGGGGGTGTTTGGTGAGGTTTTTTGGAGCCAACTTATGAGTTCTGACTTTTAAAAAGTTATTTTGGACTGTTTAATTAAACTTATTTCAAACAGTTTCTGATTTTAATAATTTATTTTAAGTAAAAAAAGTTGATTCTGAGAAGCTGCTCACTCCTTGCTTCTGATTATCAATTTTTGCTGTAGACATGTTAATTCACGGTTATATTTTTAGATTTTTTTATTTTTTATTTTTTTAAAAATAGAAAAAGACCCAAATGGATTATAAAATATTATTATTATTTTTTATGAAAAATATAGACAAATAGTGAATAATAAAAAATAAAAGTTAATTGAAAAAGTAATTTCACAGTTTATTTAACAAACATTATTCAACAATTTAAATTTATAATTTAACAATTATATTAAACATATTAACATTTTCTGATTAAAGTTATAATCTATAATTTGTTAAGTTATAATTTATAATATGTTTTAACAGCTACACCAAACAAGACCTTAGAGCAGCTCCATTAGAGCTCTCTATCATATTCCAAAACAAAAACATAAACATACATCACATCACATGTGGGTTTTGTTTCTTGTTACATAATTATAAATTTTTTTTTAAATTTTAAAATTAGAACTCTCAATCTTTATTCGATCAAAAAATTACCAAAGAACAAAAACAAACATATATTTGGATACCCGTAAAAAAAAAAAAGGCATGTATTTGGATAAAAGCCACTAATTAAACAACTCCGATTGGTAGCTCGAAATATCAGAGGGTCGAATGGCTCGAAATCCCAAAACGACGTCGTTTTAGGCTTTTTTTATATTCTCTTACCGGTAAGAGAATATTTTCGACCCATTCGACCCTTCACTTTCGAGCTACCGGCCATTTTCCCTAATTAAATGGACCACTTGCCCACAAATCCAAAAGTTCTCTGAACCTGAATTATTTTATCAGCATCATGAAATCATGTGTATACCCATTCCCCGAATTGGGATCCTCCCCTTGAGCCCCCTCCTTCATTCCCTCCTTGCATGGGCCTTCGGGTCTACTTTGAGGCCCAGTTTTGATAATCCGAACCGTTCATATTTTTAGATTTATTCAGTATATCATACCTGTAAAAAATCAAGTTGATCGAATATCATAAAGTATGTGTTCGGAAAACTGTTTATTAAAAAATAGTTTGTAGTCCCAATTTTCTGAACGCATACTTTCTGATATCCGATCAACTTGATTTTTAACAGGTATAATATACTGAATAAATCTAAAAATATGAACGATTCGGATTATCAAAATTGGGCCTCAAAGTGGACCCGAAGACCCCTGCAAGGAGGGAATGAAGGAGGGGGCTCAAGGAGGGAATCTGGACTCGCCATGTGGAGCCTTCAGAAGGTCACCACATAACCACAAATAAACGATGATATGTTTTAAATATCTAATCTATGATATGTTTTAAATATCTAATCTATTTTTATTTTTTTAAAAATAGAAAAAGACCCAAATGGATTATAAAATATTATTATTATTTTTTATGAAAAATGTAGACAAATAGTGAATAATAAAAAATAAAAGTTAATTGAAAAAGTTATTTCACAACTTATTTAATAAACACTATTCAACAACTTAAATTTATAATCTAACAGCTGTACCAAAGAGATTAACAATTTCTTATTAAAGTCATAATTTATAATTTGTTAAGTTATAATTTATAATCTGTTTTAACAGCTATACCAAACAAGAATTTAGAGTAGCTCCATTAGAGCTCTTTATCATATTCCAAAACAAAAATATAAACATACATCACATTACATGTGGGTTTTATTCCTTGTTACATAATTATAATTTTTTTTAAAATTTTAAAATTAGAACTCTCAATCTTTATTCGATCAAAAAATTAACAAAGAACAAAAACAAACATATATTTGGATACCCGTAAAAAAAAATAAAAAAAAGGCATGTATTTGGATAAAAGCCAGTAATTAAATGGACCACTTGCCCACAAATCCAAAAGTTCTCTGAACCTGAATTATTTTATCAGCATCATGAAATCATGTGTATACCCATTCCCCACCCCATGTGAGATTGCAGTACTGATTTCTGTTTTTCTAATGATTTTTTTGTCAACAAAGTAATTCACACAATACCAATCAATGAATGCTATAGACAACGGTTCTGTTTGGGAGGACCTATAGGTCAACTCAAATAGGATTTATATAGGTTAACCTATTTAATTTATTCGTTTAAAAAAAGTTATTTAATGATGTTTGGTTGTAATTTTAGGTCATAACTTATTTGATTATTGTCAACTTGTTTAGAAAAAATAAGGTAATATTTTTTGGGGTTATAATTTATAAATTTTTTAAATTTATTTGAAACTCTTAAATATGCATAGACAAAGGTGTCCTTATCTCGTCTTAATTATTACTTTTGAGGGTATGTTGAATATTTTGCACCAAAAATAAAATAAAATAAAAAAATTTGCACATTAAAAATGTTCAATTTTTATTTTTATTTTTACAAATTATGAGTAGATGCACCAAATAGATTTATAATTTATTTTAAATTTTTTACACTAATAATTTAAAAAATTATAATTATAAAATTAACTTAATAGTAATATACTAAACAGAATAAAAAATGCAATAGTCTGCATCAGACAACTAATATAAAATTCATATGAACCCAATAATTGAAACGCAAGAGTCTGTATTAGACAATTAATGTAAAATTCATGTGAATCCAATAATCATCTGTGATGTTTAGAACTAGATGCATTGATTAAATCTATGAAAATCAAAAACAAAAAGAGGCTAGATTTACAGATAATTTGGTCTTGTTTTTATTGGAAGTATGTGGTGGTAATTGTGGTGATGAGAGAGTGGTGAAAGTAGTGGTTGCAACAGTTGTACGTAGTTAGTGGTAGTGATAAGATAGTAAAAATTTAGTTCGAAAACATTTCCCTTTGAATGAAAACTTTTTCCATTAATTACGGGAATATTTTTCATTAGATTTCAATTTTCCATCTTATCGTATGTTGAAAAATTTTAACATTTTTCAAAAGATATTTCCTATTGAAACAAACAAAATGTAAAACTAAAATATGCTATCCACTCTTGAACATAGCCCTAGAAAGCTTTTCACACAAATCTGAAGTGAAAATTCCAGCTAGTTGCCAATATTAAAAAAACCACAATATAAAAATAAATCAAGGACACCCAAACAGAGGTCCTAAAAAGGTTTGACTGCACACAATCTGAGGGGTATGCTATATTCCATCTAGCAGGCAACACAATATTTTAACAACTAGGGATTAATAATAATACTTGTCCAGATAAACTATGTTTTTCATACATATACAGAAACTAATAAATATCCAGAAGTGCATCTCTCTCCTTGCAACCAAATACCTGGACATACAAAACCCACAAAGTAAAACTACTAAGCAACGGCTATGGCCTCAACTGTGCTTGCCACAGCCACAACTGCAGCCTTGGGAGGAGCAGCAGAAGTAGTAGCGGCACCAGATTTAGCATCCTTAGTCGGTGCCGGTGCCGGTGCCGCCTTGAGGTGTGGAGGTGTGTTGTGCTTAAGCTTTATGAGTATCTGCCGCATCCTTGATAGCTCAGTTGGTTTCCCCGGCTTTGGCCCTTGAATCACGACGACAGATGGCTTCTTCTCCTGTTCTTTCTTTCCTCTCTTCTTTTCTATAGCTGGTACTTCGTTAGGTACGAGCTCTGCAATTGCCTTCCAGTAATTCTTGTCTGCCTCTGCATGGAACTTCTCTTGGATGGCCACAAATAACTGAAGAAGAGCAACATATAAAGTTAGAAATAGCGACGAAGAATTACATCCTCATCAAGGGTTCCCTTTTGTGGCTGCATAGTATTTGCATTGAGTTACAAAGACAACCACGGATATTTTAAAATAAAACTTGGAAGTTATGGACCAACAAATTTGAATAAACACTTCAAACTTTTTTTTGTTAGTATAAATAAACACTTTTTACTCCTAAAAACACTGTATCTTTGCTTTTTATTCTATGAGGCAATTGGATATGAATGAATACTACTAGATCTTCAAATTCCTCAGACAATCTGATTTTCTTGGGTAATTTCTCCCACCAAACCTCAACTCTTTGTCAACCTAACAACAATGTTGGGCTCTCTCTCTCATATTAAATCTCAAATAGCCATATTTACCCCGACTCAGCAGTATTAATAGCATTGTATTTCTAACATTGACAGGTTTTCTAACACTTCCACTCCATGGTGACACTCTCTTCTATACAGCATATATATCATCAAGTCGTAAAGCTCCACCGTTGCCCATTGATGCTTACTAGTTTCATTTTTGTAGCTAGATTTCCCATGCTCCTTACACTGCCAAACCCTGGTTAACCAGTAAGACAAGTGGATTTTCAAATAAAGTTTAAACATCATAAAATTGTGTTGTAGGAAAATACACAATTAATATAGCTTGCTCACATAACATGATCAAGAAGTACAAAATATTTTATAATAAAATTGTATTTATGTTGCAGAAGGAAAACATCATGAATTTTGTATTTTCATTATACATATTACTAAAAATTATTTTTGAACTCACTTGATACCATATCACCGCATGGACCAAGTGATTTGAAAGGTAGTCCATTATATGGAATATGGATCATACCGGCACCAAGCCATTTTCAACTTTGAAAGCTCTTCCAGAGGTATTAGAAACATATTACTGTTGACTACAAAAAATTCAGTTTGACAACACATTCTATTCAGTTGGGAATACATGTCAGTATTGCCGATACAAATACCTTACATTAATGTGTAGTGTTAAATGGAAGAACTTGTTTGCTATATTACTATTTACTATTTACAGAATCTAACAAATTTATAATAAATTTGAATAATTCCATACGACTTCCAGTTCTTGGTATCCATTGCTAATAATTAGTAAACTATACTCCTCAATGGCCTCAAAATCCAAAAAGACCATTCCTCAATTTAGCTAGATGCACATGTTTATACAACAGAAATTGACAAACTGATCAGGAAGAGCAAATCCCAAGTCCTTACAAAAATCTCAGTTCGACAACACATTCTGATTCTATTCAGTTGGGAATACATGTCAGTATTGCCGATACAAATACCTTACATTAATGTGTAGTGTTAAATGGAAGAACTTGTTTGCTATATTACTACTTACTATTTACAGAATCTAACGAATTTATAATAAATTTGAATAATTCCATACGACTTCCAGTTCTTGGTATCCATTGCTAATAATTAGTAAACTATACTCCTCAATGGCCTCAAAATCCAAAAAGACCATTCCTCAATTTAGCTAGATACACATGTTTATACAACAGAAATTGACAAACTGATCAGGAAGAGCAAATCCCAAGTCCTTCTCATAGTCCCTAACAGACTATTATTTGAAGACAGTTTTGCTCCACAACCTACAATTTCCTAAATGCTCCAAAAACTACTTCAATCCTTCCATCTATCAAACCAATGTTTTGAAAAGCGGTTGCGGTGACGTGGTAGCAGTTGCGGAGTGTAAAGGCTGTAGCGTAACAGTTGCAGTAACCAGAACCATGGTTTTTTTTATTTATTTATTGCACAATTTGAAGAAAACTTACCGATACGCATATATATATATATATATTCATAATCACATTTATTGGGATTTAAAATAAATTTTGATAATTTTTTGTTAATTTTTAAAAATGATCTAATATATTTCATATTTTCAAATCACTATAAAATGAGTTTTTTACATTTTATTTCAATAGTTAATGATTTTAAGAATAATTGATTTTAAATGTCTATAAATTATTTTTACCAACACCCGAACTAACTGAATAAAAAATATTCACAATTATTAAATGAAAGGATTATAAAATAAAAATTGTGCCATAAATTTTAAAAAAAAATTATAAAAAAAAAAAAATCATATAAGATTTTTTCTTTTTGGATTTGGATCACTTGAGTATTTGTTTTTTTTTTTTTTTTTGTATGTGTAGGCTTTTGTTTTTTTCTTGGGAAAATGAAATTATTTAGAATATTGTAGAAGGGTGTAACGGTGTCTAACGGACCGTTACAGTCGTTACGTAATATCGAAACGACCGTTACACATGTGAATTTTCGTCACGCCGCTATAACGCCTGTAACGGGTGGCACTAACAACCACAACCATTACGTAACGGTGTTACGTAATGATTGCAGCCGCTTTTTAAAACCTTGTATCAAACCTACCAAGTTGCTATCCATACTGCCATTACTTCTTTCCTCCCCTCCAACTTTTCATTTGTTTTTGCATATAGAGTTGTTTTCCAATCTGCATACTCATTGCTCCTAGACTATCAAAAGTTTATCCCTGCTCCCATACATCCTTTACCCAGAATGGTCAAGTGTTACATGCAATAGCATTTATAGCTAACTCCACCCATTCAAAAATGTTTGTACATCTTCAATGAAGTTTTACTTTGAAATCGATATTTTGAACACCAAAAGATCCACCTATTCAAAAATAGTTGCACCTTCAATTAAGTGTTATCTTGAAAGCAATATTTTGAATGCCAAACCTGTTAGTAAACCATAAAATGGGGCCTTTGACATGTCAAATTGTGAATTCACTTTTCAACTATATGGCTAATGACCCAAAATATATTGAAAAATGAGGAAAAATTAGGTTATAGATATTTAAAATAAAAAATTTTGTATTAAGTTTGCAATTATGTTACAAGTAACCTTGATAATTTGTGAGAAACAAAACGCACAAGAAAATTAAAAGGTTCATAAATAGTTTTTAATGTCAAAATAAAAGCATTGCTATATCCAACAAAATAGCCCCACATATTCATACCATATGTTTTCCATTAATCGTAAGCAAACGAGAGAAAAAAAAACAAGAACAAATTAATGCATGAATAAAACAGAAGCAATGTATATTTTTTTTTTTTAAAAAAAAGAGTTCATTCTCACCTTCTCCTTTTCCCTGTTGGTGGTTTTGTTGGTTTCACAGGTCACCTTCCTTCTCGTGTAGAAATCAACCTTGTACTCTTCTGCTTCAGCAATAATTTGGCTCAACAATTCTTTCTCTCTCTTCTCCTTCTCCTCGAGTCGAATTGCATTCTGACTGAGAATTTAAACAAAACCACACAATTACTTATCATTTAAGTGAAGTAAATTTGAACAATTAATATAATCCTCCACTCAATGCAGTATCTCTAAGCTAATTTTGTTAGCATAAAGAAAATTTCTCAGCCCTCACCAAAAATACAAAAAGAAAAGAAAATCAAAGACAAATTTAAAGACTTTTTAACTCATTTACATGGACACATTGGAACCAAAATGGAAAATCAGAGTCTTGTCTTTATAAAGCATAGTAATGTTTGGTTATTTTAATGCCAAACAAAATTTTAAAAAATATTTGAGTGTTCAAATCAACATATACAATTCCCAATATGCATATCTTTGAATTCCAACAAACATTCCAAATCAAATCAATATGAGCCAGATCTTAAAATAGAACACTATCTATTGAAACTACAACAAGTGAGCTAACAGAGTTTCTAATGTCCATCTTACTTCCACACTACACTAGAACTACTATAAAAAAAGAAAAAGAAAAAGAAAAAGAAAAAGAAAGAGAATCTTATTGAATTCAACAGATCATTTCATAGCTCAATCGCAAACACATCAAATTGAAAAATAAAAAATAAAAATTGGTAGATAAACCTAACCTCCTCCATTCTCTGAGAGCGTAACCCTCCTCGGGCTCCATTTCCGCCGGAGGCGGCAGAATCGGCCCGTTCGAAGCAACAGAGCCACCGTCGAATGCCTTTCCGTTCGCTTCCGGCGAGAAAGTCGAGAATTCCGCCGGATCGGGGGAGAAACCGCCGCCGGAGGCGTAGATCGGCGGCGGAGAGGGAGTGTCGGGGATAGACTGCGAAGTGAAGATCGGCGAGTCGTCAATGGCCGAGTCCTTGACGGACTCAGAGTCCGCGAAATTCGAGAACGAATCGAATCTCTGGGAAGGAAGGCGAGGATCGTAGCCGAGGTAACCGTCGTCGTCGAACGGCCGAGTCGAAGCGGCGGGTCGTGAGTCGTCAGCGAGTTGATCGAACGAGTCAGCGAATGAAGACGACATGGTTCTTGTGATCTTCGAAAGTGCTCGCTCACGCTTTTTCAGCGCCTTGTGCTCTTCGATGAATTTTATCTTCGTCTTCGTTGGGATGCTCTATTTGCTTTAAAAAAATAAAACAACTAAACTAAACTAATTGCGCACTCAATATTTTTTTTTATGGGTAAATCACATTGTCACCCCCCGGAGGTTTGATTCAATTATTACTCATTCTTTGACGTTTTGAAAATTATATTTTTACTTCTATAATTAATAGCCTTATTTTATAAATTATTTACTTGTATAAAAGGTAACAACTCTTAGTAGAAAAATAGAGAAAATTTACATTAAAAAAAAGAAAAAAGGAAATGGGAAAAAAAAAGAAAAAGTTAAGCAAAGTAAAAAAAGAGAGAGTGCATGAGTTCAATGTCTTCATTCCGTCTAAATAATTACAATGACAGGGAAGTTAGTGTAATTTTTCAAACATCAAGAGTGATATGTATTAAACCTATACCTTAAGGGTGTAAATGTAATTTACTCTTTTTTTTTATTTATTACTATAACTACTCAATATTGAAATAGAATAGGTGAAATATGGATAAATCTTAAAAGAGTAATGATATATCCTTCTAATTTTGGAGTTCTAATGATGTGGTAGAAAATAAAAAAAAATGAAAATAAATAAAACTAATGCCAAAACATCACACTGGGATTCACTCCCATTAGACCTCATTTATTAGAGTTTTCAATCATTTTTCATCTTAAAATATAATATTGTAAATTGTTTACGTTTTATTTATTTATTTATTTTTATGAATTCAAATATCCTATTAAAGTGAAAATTATATAAAAGATAGTCACTTACATATTTTGATTTTCAAAGGTTTTATTAAACTGAAAATTACACAAAAAAAAAAAAAAAATCACTTACATGCTTGTATTTAATTTTTTAGGAATAAAAGTAGATTTCTTCAAATGTAAAATTATACATTTGAGCAATCTGCACTTTAAAGGTTTTGGATTTTCCATCTTCATGGAACAAATCTACATTACGAATAAAAACGTAACACTCAAATGTCACACCTTAATAACGTAACACTCTAATGTAACATACTAAAAAACTCATTGATGTACTTTTCTTAAACGTAACAATGTAATATTTCAAAAAAGCCCATTAGTATATTTTTTTCAAACGTAACACTTTAATGCAATACAAAAAAATAAAAATAAAAATTAGTATACTTTTCCCAAATGTAACAATATAACACTTCAAAAAATCTTCTTAGTGTACTTTTTTCAAACGTAATACTCTAATGTAATACACAAACAAAACTTATTAGTGTACTTTTCCCAAACATAACAATGTAATACTCTAAAAAAAACTCTTTAGTATACTTTTTCTAAATGTAACATTTTAATGTAATACACAAAAAAACTTATTAGTGTACTTTTTCCAAATATAACAACATAACACTTCAAAAAAATTTCTTAGTGTACTTTTTTCAAACGTAACACTCCAATATAATACAAAAAAAAAACTTATTAGTGTACTTTTCTCAAATGTAATAACGTAACACTCCAAAAGAACTCCTTAGTGTACTTTTCTCGAACGTAACAATGTAACATTTCAAAAGAACTTCTAAATGTATTTTTTCCAAACGTAACAACATAATACTCTAAAAAAACTCATTAGTATACTTTTCCTAAACGTAATACTCTAATGTAATACACACATAAAAAAAAAACTCATTAGTGTATTTTTTCCAAAAATAATAACGTAACATTCCAAAAAAATTCCTTAGTATATTTTTTTTTTCCATATGTAACACTCTAATGTAACACACAAAAAATCTCCTTAGTGTATTTTTCTAAACGCAACACTCCAATGTAACACACATAACAAACTTTTTAGTTTACTTTTCCTAAACGTAGCACTCTAATAAATGTAATTTTAAACGTAACACTCCAATGTAATATACTCAAATTTAACACACAAAAACACTAAAAAATTTCTTAATGTACTTTTTCTAAATATAACACTCACAATTTGAAAATTATACATTTATCCAAAGCTTATTAACAATTTTTTGTACTCCTTTTGGAATGGTTTGAAGAATCCCACATCCTTTTTTTTGGAGTGTTACGTTTAAGAAAATTACACTAAGGAGTATTTTTGTGTATTACATTAGAGTATTACACTGAAGAGTTTTTTTGAATTATTATATTAGAGTGTTATATTTGAGAGAAATATACTAAGGATTTTTTTTTGAAGTTGTTATATTGAAGTGTTACATTTGAGTGTTACGTTTGAGTATTACATTAGAGTGTCAAAGTGTAAATTATCCATTTGTCTAAAACTTACTAAGGAGTTTTTGTACTTCTTTTGAAATGTTTGAAGAATCTCACATTTTTTTAGAATGTTTGAAGAATCATATATTTCAAGTCATTTTTATACTTATTTTGAAATGTTTTCCAAATAAAAAAGACTCCCATATAAAAAGATCTCAAATTTGATTATCATAAATTGTGTACCTTGCCTTTCTAGCACACACACAAAAAAAAAAAAAAAAAAAAAAAAAAAAAAAAAAAAAAAAAAAAAAAGAAACATAATAGAAATAAGGATATAATCGTAAAATCAATTTCTAAATAATATATTAAACCTACATTTCCAAAATCAATAAGACTAATTGGTCTATAGAAAAATCCTTAAAACTAAATGGATCATCATTCTTCAAATGGGGTTTGTAGGTAAATTTTTCAAAAAATTATTCATAATTAAACTCAATCTTTTATTTTTTTGAAGTGATTTATAAGCAAGTTTATTGGCTTTTTAGTTTATTTGAGTCATATCATTTTTTTTATATTTTGTACATCTTTTTATAATAAACAAAAAAGTTAGCTTATAAACCACCTAATCTCTTCATTTTACATCTTAATTCTTGCATTTGATTTTGTATTGAGGTTAATAATAGATAATGAAGAGGACGTTTACTAAATAATTTTTTACAAAGAAATTAAGTTTTCTATTTATGGTCATCATTTTTGACCATTAAGTTTATGAAATTTGTTCGGAAATTCAGTACCGAACAAATTATATTTATTTTAAAACTTGTTTCTAAATAAAATTCATATATTCGGTAGTGTGTTGCTATAATAATGGTCATTATTTAGTATTTAATATCCGAACAATTGTTTATGCTAGCTCTGTATTTTCAAAAATTTAATTTTTAAACTTCTTTATATTTCAATTTTGAACAAAAAGAACTATCCGGTATAACATATGTTCCAATTTTTTGTTGTTCACAGCTGAGTATCTGCACATATTTCATTTTTTCGACTTCAAGTATTCAAAGCAATTTCATAATTTCAAAATAAATATCTAGACATATTTAATTTGTTCGGCATTGAGTATTAAGATGAAATAGCTTGAACCAAGTTTTTGTTGTTCGAAACCAAGTATTCAAATAAAAAAGTTGGAACTAATTTTCTAAAGTTTGGAAGTGAGTATTCAAACATATTTCATTTATTTGGCACTGAGTATCCGAAGAAACTATAGAACTCACTTTTTTTAAAAGAATCAAAATAAAAAAGTCTCAAATTCATGGAATGCCAAAATACCCTAAAATGATAGGGGTTGAAGACAATGATGGTTTGGAGATGGTGGGTTAGCGACTAGAGTGCTGGAGACGACATGTTGACTTTGCCATGAAAGATGAGTTTGTTCCTTTGTTATAACTATAAGAGTAATTAGGTGTAAAAAGTAGGTTTTTAGTATATTTATAGAGTTTTTGGGATTTTTAGGAGCATAGTCCAAAAAAATAAATAAAAATTTAAACTTTCAATTGGGGTGTTCAAAATAATGTGGTGCTTAACTTATTTTTGGAGTGCACTTAAAGATACCCCCATCTTCTTCTTTTAGACAAAATGTATTTTTCCATTACTGCCCCTCTTTTTTTGACAAATTACACTATTTACCCAATTATTGGGAAATTCCATACACACACCTCAACAAATATCAATCCATATCATTTGTGCAGTTTGGATTTGGGCCATTTAGCCCAAAACTGCCAAAATTGTTGTTTTACACCCCAAAAATTGATTTTAAAAAAGAGTGCTGCTATTAGTATCTGCCTAATTTATTTGGACTCTCCAATTCTCACTTTTTTATTTTTATTTTTTTTATTTATTACAATTATACCCTGAAGTAAACTTACATTAAATGACAACTTTTAATAGAACACCCACCTCCATCCCCATTAATATGTATTCTTTACCAACCTAAATCCTAACGGTATTCTTCTTCGTCACCATCCTAAACCTACGTATTTATTTTCAATGAAAAACATTTGAAACCACTTAATTAGTTAACGTTTTGTTCAGTGGTTTCAAATGTGTTCGGTATTCCAAATTAGTTAACGTTGCAAACAATCCTATTACAGACTCAAAGTTTCTACATTTGTGGTTGCTTTCACTATTCGTTGATAGTGTAACACCTCAAAAATTAGACAGGGTATATCTATTTATGCAACAAAACCCACTTGATAGATAAACATATATATAGTTAACTATTCCATACATCCATTTCCATTAAATCCCAAATGCCAAATACATGTTGTTCGCATCTCAATGCCCCAGTTCCAATCCCAAGCATGCATTTTACAACAAGTATGAAATGGAAATCAAACAGATAATAAGTGCCCTACAGGCTTATAAATTTATCCAATAACATTATTGGTTACACAAAATAGAGTTTCAACTCAACGCAAATACAGCCTTAGGCTTACATTCAACAAATAACCATAAAACAAAAATGAAGCCTCAGCCCCGAATCCTCCCAAGTCAATGCCTTGGCGGAGACGTATCACCTGTACCTGAAATGGTTTCCCTTATAGAGTGAGGCACAACCCAATAGAGATATGCTACACAACATATAGACCATAACAAGACTAAAGAGGAGTATGCTCATGCCATGCTCATGATAAAACAGTTTATCTCTCTTTTTATAAAGCATGCAATGCTGAGATGCAACAATAGATACAAAGTCATTTCTATTTTAAACCATATCTGTTATATGAATACAAGCTCTGTGAATCTCTAGGTGAGTGTCTGCAA